TTTCACATGAGAAGTAATAGCATAAAATGCACCACCAGTTATGTGAACATGAATCTATGGCTTTTATTGATGAAAATGTCTATGCATAGCTTTTGGGTCACAGCACTATATTTGATTTCGTCCTTGGCTCTCATCAATTGTGACTGAATTTATCAATGAGGAGGCGGGGTTGTTTATGCTGAGCAACATAAATTCACATCATATGATGTTTGTAATGCCGAGAAAGTACGTGATTTTCGAAAATACTCTCCTACGTGTGTGTGTGTGTGTGTAGAAGTCGGAGAAACAAGTTGTCTGACAAAACAAAAATGAATTCATTTTCACTGTTAAATAACCTATAAAAGTTCACAGTCTAGACACATTAGGTAAGTCGAATTTTTCACTATTTTTGGGAGACTGTAACGAATCATGTAATTATTAACATAGTTACCTAATTAATTCTTTCACTCAACTTATTTGAACATTCATCTCCTTATTAATGGTTGGTAGATGTGGTGTACTTGTAACAATCCTGGGTGAAATGGTAGTTATAGTGAATGTCGTTTATGAATTAAAAAGATGGAATCTTTAAATCATATTCATCAATCAAGTTTATTTTTAAATGATTAAAACATGCATTGTAATTAGATAGAAAAAGATTTTGAGATCCATTCAGTCATTCCAAGTTGTTTTTTTTCAAAATTGTCAGCCGAGTCAAAATTATGATGAGATGAAGGGTGGATGTTTAGCTTAGTTGTATATAATATGAGAACTAAGATCCACTCTGAATATTGGTTTTAATGAAGAAACTTGAAAGTAGTATCACTAGTATTGAACACAGCATCGCAGGTTATAATACTTACTGTCAGGATGAAGAAAACTGTAGCCTCATGTCTTCAGGTAAAAATTTATTAGTTGTCTGGTAACCTTTATTTTACTTTCGGTTGACCATTCGAAGATCAGATTATAATTGTATTTCATCTTAGTCACATCCGAGTATACAATTGATTTTTTTTATTTAGTCTAGTGTGTACTTAGCATAGACATCACTCCTGTTCATTATGTTTACTCACTGAAGTTCGAAAATAAGTGCCAGACTTCTGTGCAAAGCATGTAACGTCTTCACGCGTTTCCATGTTACTAGTTTTAAACAAGTTAGTCAACATAGATGTTGAATGTGGAGAATTAGTCAGCACGCAGTAAATGGTAAGTGCGCTTATAAGATTATGAAACAGGATGTCAGATACTGTGAAATCTTTTACCACCTGTGAGATTTACAAAGTTAAACATCGTATGCGCACAGTATAATTATGAATGAAGAGGAATAGGTAAAGGAAGTAGCTTTGGGAGTCACCTACAGAATACAGATGGGTTTTCAGTAGTTGGTGGCCAATTGTTGTACCTATGACAATTGAAAGGGTTTTAAAATCATCAAAATGGTGAACAGAAGCTAATCATTACTTTACCAGACACTACTGAAGATAATATTACATCTTATGAGTGGACTTATACATGATTTGAGATCTTAGCTTTGCCTTGTTCAGTTGTAACAATGAATAAACTAGTGAAAAGTAATAGTAGTTTTGTAACATCCAGTTCTCGGTTATATCCTTAGCGGGGATACTAACACCCACTTGAATTCATGTACATCTAACTGACAAGTTTTTAGTCAGTATAGGTAATGTCAGACCTCATCCAGTTTATTCATTTATCCCTTTTTAACCCTTAACGATTTTCAAAGGTCAGATTAACCTTACTTATCTACCAATCTTATAACTTAACCATCTATACGGTTAAATTACAAAAACAAAATCAACTATCAGAGATTAGAATGCCTCATGTATTTGATTGTTTGGTCTTGGTAACTTTTATTTTTGAGTATGGCACTCACTCTTTTTTTGTACACGGCTGCCTGCTTGAACCTTAGGCTACCAAAATTTTCAACTGAACCTATCAAATTTCTTCTCTCCAATTATTTCAATCATTTAAATATGTCCTCTGAACGCATCACGTACTCTTGAACATTTTTACAATGTTTTCAACTCACTGTTTCTCGATTTAATAATAAAACAGAGAAAAAACGTCACGTTATATGAAAGTGAACTTTTCAGTGTGCTAAAGTGCATCATATTTCTGTTTCTCGGATATTCAGCATGAGTTGTAGATTATTGTACTGGCTCAATGAACCGCCACCACCAAAATTACGCTCGAATTTTGTTGATTCTTCATTATGGACCGGATGTTAATTCAAAACTAGCTGACTGTTTCACATTGCCTTGAATACTGTCATTACTAACATCGTTCCGATGAGATAACCATTTTGTCTGAAAATATTGTTCTGGGAGTGATTTTGTTGAAAAATTATGTGCTGAGAATTCCATACATATTGTTTGGAATAAAGCGATTATTATCACTAAAAGGCTATATATATATATATATATATATATATATATATTAGTCACAAAAGAAAGATAATCTGACACCGTGAAGCCTCTTGACAAGCAGCTCATTTTCTGAAGCTCTGCAATCATTGTGAAAAAAATCTACAGACAATTAGGGTTTTTTGAAAGACTTTTTAATATGGGGATAATTTTATCAATCAGATAAGAAACAATCTACGGATAGGCAACAGATAGTCTTTTCTTTTTATTATGTGATTTCGCAGCTGTTCATGCTTCTAGCAACATACGAGATCTTCCTGTCCCATGGTGAGCACGTTTGCATCCAGTTAATCGGTTGGACTCCACAGTAAAGTTTTACAGAATTACAAAACGTCCGTTTGTGTAGATGTAACATCGGGTTTGGTGAGTTTGTTAAAGAACAGTTAATATGTTCCTCAATCTATTCCATCAGTATTTCTGAAGGTCTACGCTAGAGATATCTTCACAAATCTCCTTTGTATTTGGTTTTTCCGAAAATGTAAAGTACACTACATATTTGGATGTTTTTGATTTGCAAACCCCCTTTACGACTAAACTAGAATTCAGTGCTTCTTGAAAGAAAAAACAAACACATATGACTCATCTATTTCGAAATGGTGAAATTGTTTTTCGTTGTTTCATCATTCCTTAGCTGTGTTCCCACATGATGGAAACAATACTGATACTTTATCCACTTCAAGTAAACTTTAGAAAACTAAACATTATCTTTTCCAGATAAAAACAGTTATTTGTTTTAGTAGCAATCATAGTAATAATTATTTTCGTATAATAAGTTATGCGAACATGTGCCATTTTTAACAGGCATTATCTTTATGGTATCTTTTAGAGTGCAGGTGAGAAAATGTGAAAATTATTAATAATCAAACCGCATGTAGTCTTTTAGGTATGTGAATACTTGAGTGAATGTCTGTTGTAAATGTTAGGGAGAACGTTTTCTTCATGTAGTATAAGTTACAGATATTCCGGGGATCATTCAACACGCTCAGCTAATTGGTAATAGTGATTAGCTGCAGATACTAGTTTTTAATCGAAATTACACAAGTAATAAAAGTACTTTGCATATGAAATGATCAGCGAAACTCAAGTTGAAAACATGCAAATATTTATTAAGGTTATGTTGGGATGCTATTGCTTGTAATTTCCCGCCGTTGATTGCACCGAATTGATGGGTCTTCATTGACATATGGGCTCAGTGTAGATGCCTTCATACTGCCTGTATTTTCAGTTCCTTAGAAATGATGGACAGTGGCTAGCAGCCAAATCCAGGATGCATTCAAAGCGATCGGTCCTGGGTTCAAGTTATAGTGGAAATAACATCACTCACCGGGAGGCAGGTACATTCAACAAACGAGTCTCTAACAGGATGAAACGCGCATCCTGGATGTCACTGCTAGCCGCCACCCATTACTACTTTAACAGTTTTGTTGTCTTTTGATGGCAGGAAAACTGGATGAATTTACTAGAGAATTCAGGGGGGGGGGATAAATTTGGAAGTAGAATGATGTGTATGATATCACACAGCATACAACAGTTGATGAAGACGGGGTTGTTGACATAACTTTAGGCAAAAAATGCAAGTAAATCTGACAAGTATTATTACGTCATGACAGCTGAAGGAATACAAGGTATTTTTTAAGTTTCGAAACCCTGTACTGATGAGGAGGTCACCCATTCAACGTGCCTAGTCATGGGCAGCGTGAAAAATCTGTTGATGGGTCCTTTTAAGCAAATGTTGAATTAACAACTAGATCATGTGAACTTATGAGACTGGCACGTTGCAGTATCCAATGAATTATATGTCTCTGGAATCTTGCCTGAACTATTAAGTACCAAGCATTGCTAGTATCAGAATGCTGTACATCAATGATAAAGATAATTCAGGAGGGCTCACGGTAAATACAACTGATTAATACAATAGATAAGGAATACATACAACATCTAAAGTGAACTGCTATCGCGAAAGTTCTTAAACACACCTGCTTTTTCAACTTGCAGTCCCGTAATCAGTAATGATCCCAGTTAATATTAAAGATCATTGTTTTTGGTAAGCCTACTAACAAAAAACGCAATTTCTTGTTTCGTAAGTTAACAAAAACAAGACAGTATAATAATATGTCTCCGGTATTCTCACCATAACAGCTTTCGTAAACATAAATGAAGTTTTGCAATTTCTGTACTTTCATTTTCTCACCAGTTCTCACATAACTTGTGAAGTCTAGTGCAACAAAGAAAGACAATCGGAATGATGGTATAAATAACTTGGATAGACAGCATAGACTAACTCCCTCAGACAACAGACTGAACTAAGTACAAAATAAAAGTCTACAGTTCTCACTTGATTATATGGAATTATATTAAACTTGATGATCTGTCTGTAGAATGTCGGGATTTATTGATGCTAGTAGCTTACGTTAATACTTCTTTTATTAGATCGAAAAACATATCAGCAACTTGAACCGGTACACTACTCTTGAAAGATCTTTGTTGACCTATTTATCTACCTATGAAATAAGATGACATAAAACTGTGCAAATTAAAGCTCACACAATAAAAATGCATTAATATGAACAAGTAAGTGTAACAGTGAAAAAATGTTTTATTTTCAATAATATTCACAAGAATGATTTCTTTCTGAGATGAAGAAACACGCGAACAGTATGTAAATAAAGGATCTTTCCTGTCTCCCTTTTACCCTGTATATGGCAGTGATAGTGAAGAAAATTGAACAGAGCCTCATGTACACCGGTGTTAAATGACTTCAATAAATGCATCATACACAAAAAAGGGCAACTACAAATCAAGAGACTACAACAAGATGGGATAGCTAGATACCAAGCAGACAAAGATTAACTCAAAAACAAATTAATGTTTTATGAAAAATATCAATAGAATACTATTTACAAAATTAAGTTTGTCCTTATACTTCACGGTAGAAGATGCAGAAGAACAGTTGTACGCTGGGTGTAAAATGTAAGATATGGAGAAATGTCAATCTGTATGATACTGACGACAATAACATTAGTGACAGAAGCCGAATATCATGAAACGGAAACTGTATATCATTTACACATCTATCTTTTTTCAAACAACAAGATCATAGCAGTGACATAAAAAGTATTATAAAATTCAGTTTGTATCACTTATCTTAACAATAAGAAGGCGGTAAAATCTAATAAACAATTCTGCTTCCTTTGATAACGAAATGGGATCTAGGCAAAACGATTATATATCATCATCATCATCATCTCGTTCCAAGCCATTCCACTCCTCATAGAGTGAAATGAATTCTAGTAGAATAAACTTATGAATGAATAGTAGGCAATAAATTGAACAAAGTAGTATTAGTAGCGATGATAAAGTGAAAACAAGGAAGTGAGAATGGATCACAGAAGATAAAAGGGAAGAAAGGAAGGAAGGAAGAAGGATGCTACACGATATTAATTACCTTTCTTTTTCGTCACAAATAGGATAGACAAAGTAATTACGCTTTAGAAAGACGGTTCTCGACTAACTACAACAGCATGTCCAGATTTACCACAATCCATTAAAGTTTTTTCAGTCCACTGATCTGTTGTCGGATTGTAGACTTCCACACTGGAAAGAAATTCGCTTCCATCGTAACCACCTAAAGTGTGAAAAAAAGAGAAAGCGATTATTGATAATAGATATGGAAAGCTCTTCTGTAACTCAACACAAACAAGTCAGGTAGATACTCACTGATGACAGTGGATGATGAACGAGCTTGGAGTACACAGACTATTCGATTCTACAAGATCTGACAGTTTTATGAGCGTTAATATAATGATGCGAATTTCCCCACCACGACATTCAGTAATTTTAAAGTTGAGGTCTTGATATCACCCTCATTAGGGTTTACCATGTATTTCATCAGCTTATTTACAAATATATGAATCCAAACGCTTTTTACATTTAACGTTCCTTTCAACAATACTGGATTTTTTAGTTAATAAAATTTAAAATTCTGTTACTACTATTAAGATTCTTTCTAGAAAATTGAACAAATGAACAATTAAACTTGACAGTTGGAGAGTTGTCTGTCAGACAATATAGAAAAGGAACCGGGCGTTACAGTATGACAACCCGAATTGCCAAACCTGGTATCAACACATAATTGAACAGCTAGCTGTCTTCTATTCATTTTCAAGTCGGGTTGATACTACAAATCTTTAATCATTTTATTGTATCAAAGCGATTCTTTTTCTGCCTATCCCTTTCCTCTATAGAATAATATACACTTCATATTACCTGGTCTCGATAACATCAACACTATCTATAGTTCCTCCAACTGACGTCAGTCCGTGATGAATACCAAGTGAAGAAAAAGTCTCTAAATCCACACAACCCTCTAAATTCTATCTATAGTTGCCAAAAAGCTGGAATAATCGGAAAACAATACTTTAGAGTGGGATATCTTTCTTCAGCTATCACAGTGTACAGTAAGAGATCGCCTTAAATCCAGTGGTGAGACTTCAATGGCTACTTAAAGACTACCTAATATATTACTTTACATCTATGTTGTCTCAGTTATACCCTTTTACATTGCATTGATTATCTGGAATCCGCACTCTTATACACGCGGACAATAGGTTCGCAGTTCGGTCTTCAGATATACAGTCAGCTGGGCCTTGGCTTTAGCAACCAGTCAATTATAGTTGGTCGAAAGTCTCGGGTTTGGTTATGAAGTCATGTACAATTAACTGGGGATCGTTACAGTATTTTCCACCCATACAAACCTTGAGTACATCTTCTTAACTTGGAAGAGGTACATATTAGTTGTTCTATGATCCTTGATTCATGTAACCTTTTGATTGAAATCAATTAAAAAGGAGATTAATCTTTGGATTATGCAAGTTTCACTCACCGAAAACCCATATTTCATTTCCCCACACAGAGGCACTTAATGCTGATCTTGGATGTAGCATAGATGAACAGTACTCCCAACAATTACGTTTAGGATCATATCTTTCCATAGTATTCAATTGGCTGCAAGAATCATATCCACCAATAGCATAGATGTATTCTCCAAGTGCAACGACACCTGATTCATGTTTGAAAAGAAAGGAACAGAAATATTTATATCACCCTAGGGTTTACATGACTAATGTCACCAGTTTGACTGTAAAACGTTTATCAAGAATTTGCCGAGGAATAAAATGTAGAATCCAAAATGTGAGTTAGGTCCCACTTTAAGACATCAATTGAATGTAGTTGTGTGCAAACAAGTGAGGTTCTAACTCGATTACAGAAGGACTGAAAACGTCGCGGATATTTGCTCGGTGGCTGCTAGCAGTGGAATCCAGAACGTTTAGTCTTATTCAGTACTCGCCAACTGGATGTACCTGAATTCTAGCAGCAGATGGCATTCACACTGAGACTAGAAACCTAACAACCATCAGTTGAAAAAACCCGGACTAAAAGATTCAGTCCAGTATGACAGACATCAGGAAGTTACAAGTATCAATTCCATATACTCACTTACTTTATGGATGTTTATATTTGACTAGACGAGAACTAAACATACAAAAACAAGCCATTAGTTTTATGTGCATGTTAACTGTCTACCTAGCGGGATTATGTGTACACACTGCAAAGGAGTCCCATTCTAGGATGAAATAGCCCTTCAGTGTCCTAAGGTTTTCAGTGGTGCTTCAACTGGTATCAGTTCATGATGAATACCCCCTTAAAACCATCAAAAATAGTTATGACATTCACAGTGAGTTGTTCACTGAGCTGGGGTTTCAGTTTCAGTTGACAAACGGTTGAATGTCATACTAGCCGTCGTCATCAATGCATCGGAGCTTCCATAAGGCAGCGAAGAGAACAACTCATTCTGAACATACACACCCTGAGCTACAAATATTTACCACAATTATAATATTGATACCAGACAAATTTCATTTCGATAAAACCTCTTCCTTATTGAAGAAGTTTGATAGCAGATGCTCCATGAAGTGAGTAACTAACTATTCACCCAAGTTAATCTGGAAATTTTAGACTTTCTAAATATGCTTTTTGAGACATTCGACCAGAAAATCTAGACAGTACAACCTAATGCGTATTAGATTAGATTGACTTTATAATTGATTAGCTGAATTGTCCACATAGAAGTCTATACTATTTTATCCTCTTTCCTCGTTGACCGCTTCACATAAATATATGAATTCAAAATCTATTTTTTTTTAAAATATCTATAGTGGCAAGTTAATTAAGCAGTTATGACTTTGATTTCGGTCTTGCTATTGTTTGAAGAAAGTCTGAGCTGTTCGCTACATATTCTTTACTGATAAGTCTAGGGTTAGATGGTATAGGCCAAATTTTTATTATTTCAATTGTCTATTCATAACTTGTTTTTAATAGCTCTCATTTGGTATGAAGTGGAAAACAAATACTAAGCTTCACACCAACCGCATTGTTTGCCTCGTCATGACGTAAAACAGGGAAACAGTGATGATTTTGTTAAGAATCGATTATTTCGAGACAAGTAGATCAACAGGTCAACTGAATAACCTCGGTCTACTGAGATGTTTAAAACATGCTTCATATAAAACTAATAAACGCTTGAATCCAACTAAAGGAGTGAGATGGTTTTCTGTGCACTACAGGGAAATGGCATTTTGCAACGTCATTAATTATTGATATTCACACTGAGACCGGTGATAGATTTCTTTAGTGCATGAGCAGAGTGTTCTTCGATTTTATCTCCTAGTGTGTTGGGCAGTAATGAAAATGAAAAGCGTCTACAAATTATTAATTGCCTAGTTTTACAGTTATTCCAGTCTTTAACTAAAAAATCAATCAATTTTTCCAATTATTTTATAGCATACAAGTTTTTATGAAAAATCGTGAGTACTACACCGACAAGAAGAGTTTAAAGGTTGCCACTCTTCTACAGCTGAATGTTAATAAAAGACAAATGAGATATTATGATTAATTCAAATAGATCTATCCATGCAGAAAAAACTTCTGTCTAAAAATAGTTATTCACTTAACTCAGAAGCCAAAGTCAAGACACTGAAGCTAGACACTCCACGCCTTTTAATAAACAAGTTTTATGATCGGAACCCTCGAAAAATAGTCGATCTTTAAACTAAAGATGACCTTAGTGGTTCGCTGGTCTAGTGAATAACGTTCAGGTGTTCAAAACGATTGGGGCTGATTTCTAGACTCGATGGGAGCAACAATATCCACTGATACTCGTATCAAACAGCTGATAGATCCTGAAACAAATGGTATAGACGTGCGTACTATCCACTACCAAATAAAACCAAGACTTAGTCCCAGAGAATACCAGGGTTTTCGTACAAGGAACTGATATGCAAACAAAGGTTAATCAATTCCTTTTTGTAATGAAAAAATAAAACAAGAAGCCACCTTAACAATATAAATAAGTAATTATTTCTCCCAGTAATGATAACTGCAGATATCAAACAGGAGGCTTAAAATTCTGACCAAATAACACTCAAATAACTCCCCTTCCCTTTATTGTATTCACTTGTTTGAATTAAACTTGGTAATTTATGAGGGTTTTGGAATATGATGTCAAAAACATGTTGGAAATGTAATTTGGAGGTGAAGCAGCTTTTCTATGATTTTTCAACATAATGGCTAAACACCAAACGTCTGATATAATATGTCATAAATTTGAGAATTTCTTATTTGATGCCATGATGGAATTTATGAATTTATTATTCGAAAACGAATGCCACTTAATAATTCCACATGGATGAAAAGTAGTATTTACCATTTAGAGAAAATATTTTTACCACTGAAGGAAAGAAAGAGAGAGAAAAAAACAAAGGACATACTGCTTGGTGTCAGTCTGTGATGAATACTACCTCTAGATTTAGAATCCTTATTCATCTCGAAAATAACTCATTAGTGATATGCTTTCAGATGGATATCACGAAGTCCTAATGAGAAGCCGTGACCTGTGCGGTCAACCAGTCCGGAAGGGAAGCGGATGCCAACTGAAGACCTTAGGTGATAGTCGTGCTAGAACGTGAATTGAACCACTGAAAACCGATCCATTGGCTGAATGGTTACCGCGTTCACCGTTAAACCTTAAGGTCCTGGATTCGATCCCTAGCCGGGTCGCGGGTGCGTACCGCTGAGGAGTCCCATATTAGAACGAAACAGCTGTCCAGTGCTCCCAGGTTTTCAATGGTTCTTCAGTTGATGTTATTTTGTGATGAATACTACCTCTAGACTGCTTACTTGTTTAGAAGTTAACGAAACCTAAATGTAGACAGAATTAATTCCCTTACATAACCAAGCGCTCAAGACATGTCAGTAGATGAACAGACAAAGTAACCAAGTTGCAAGCAAGCAAAAAGGCAGACAGATGGTTAGACGGGCATGTCTCATTATGAAAAAACAACAAGAACAGTAACGAAAATAAATTCAAGACAAAAAACTACATCACCTTTGTACTGGCAATGAGAAACTGATCGATACAAGAAATCAGACACAGACATACTAGAAGTCAACATGTTTGAGGTGTTTTTGCAGTTTATGTACGCTGTGTGTGCGTGTGGTCAATTATGAGAGTCAATGCAAAAGAGACGTACAAAATATTTTAGAGTCGCAATATATACGATAAGCTGAGAAAATAATATACACAGGATAAATTATGATACAGTTGTCTGGAGATGAACAGAAGAAAAGTTTATTGGGTTTAAAGTAGACAATCGATGCCATAAAGGTAGGCAAAGTGACAGACAACAGCGCACTCGTCTCTCTCTCTCTCTATCTCTTGCCCTAGAGCTCGTTAGCTTAATCATGCTGAAAATGCGAAAACCTGAACACAACTATTAACTAAAAGTTGGACTGGATAAGCAAATCCTGGTCCAGACTATCACCGAATAATGCATCATAATAAAACGATCAAAATGGTAGACATAGTCTGATAGATAAGCAAGAACAAAGACTTTCACCAGAAACCATACATGAAATAGCCGAAAGACAGACAAACAGTGAGGGTCATAATAGTATCCGAATAAAATGTTTGAGCAGAAAATAAGACTGATAAAATTTGGCCCTGTGTACGTGTAAGAGGCGAAATCCCATTTTACTGATGAGTCAGTCATCCCTCCCTCTTTCTCACTGGCGGATTGGTTTTATTTCTCGGTGCAGACATGGTTAACTAACAGAAAAGAGTACGCCTAAGTGCATAAACACTATGAATGTATACACCAACTAGTTAGTTCTGTCAATTAATTTTGAAAAGCATGACCCATATGTGAAACAGCAACAAAAATGAACGCAAAAATAACGCGACAAGATTTGCATTTATTCACGTTTAGAATTATATATATATATATATATATATATATATATATCATCGTACGGTACCTCAGAGTTACAAGAACTTTAATTATAGAAGAGTCGTGCGATAACATCTACAGAAGGGGTGATGAAAATCACAGGGTTTTATTCCTTCATGCATATACACAAACATCGAAATAACATCAACTTCGCCTCATCTTTTCGTGATGAACAGATCAATTCAAGTGTTGAATAGGGAAGAAATTTTTTATCGAATGCAAGAACCATTCTCTAGTATCATCCTTCAGCTGATACATTTATTGACTAAATGATATTCGAAGCAGTTGGCGAATTGTGAGTCTGATACACGATAGGTGATACGATCCACATTTTCAGATAAACATGAAATGTACAAACACTTGTACACATGTGGATGTGGTAAATACACTGACGCAACTATGGTGTTACAAGTCAGTCACCAACTTGGCGGGACTCATCGAAAAGGTTTGTCTGCAACACCGACAAAAATTGTAGGCGTTTTGAGCTTTGAACAAACGCCATTAAGCGTTGAAGTCACAGACACTTCCTTTAGGTCAGTGAATTTACAACTAACTGCTTGAAGGAGTGGATTATGTGCATAGTTCGATCACCGGATGGCAACTGTCAGACTGTATTTATCAACTGAACAACTCTGCATCTAAGGGAAGATCCAACTGATCTTATTAGGCGCAATTTATCATAATTTTGTATCAAAGTGTTTTTGACGATACAAAT